GACAGGTTAAAAAAAAAAGTATGTAGTGTATACAAAGCATCATAGTTCTGTACTTGCACCTTTTGCTAAGTCTTAGTCACAGACAGGTAGAGGGATGTAGAGACTTACATTCTCACTATGTAGGTAGTTCCTACGTGTTGATTATCTCCATGTGTGTCTATACGTGTGAATGCACATACAGTACCATATGTATTCCCTATATGATACATTGTGTGTGTTCTCCTACTTCAGTGGTTTGGTTTTTGCAGACCGAATGGGAGATGGTGCAGCCTTTTCGGTAAGGTAAGCTGCTTGTTTAAAGATAAAACCCTTCTGCTAGGGTAGGGGAAATGGTGTTTGCTCAGCAGTGTGGAACAAAGGAGTTCGAAGATAGCTTAAGGAAACTTAATGATATGTTAATGAACTTACCTCTTAGCAAAAGTGCGAAGGCAGGGGGTGAAGGGAAGGAATAGGAACATGTTTTGTCACTCTCTTCAGGTGGACTATTGATTTCTGCGTCGTTAACCAGCAACAGATAGGGAAATGCTTAGTGGCAGCCTTTGTTTGCTGGATTCAGCCTAAATGAAGCTTCGCATGGGGTCAGGCTGCCCAGTGCTCTACTGCCATCAGGACCTCCTGCAGCGCCGTGAAAAAACGCTTCACTGATGCGTTGGCTTCCTTCTTTCGAGCTGTTGTCTCCCGGAGGTACTCATTGGTAACCACAGATACTAGCCCTGATGCAAGGTCATAGAAGTTGGTCTCGGTTGCAGCTGACATGGAATTACTAGTTGGGGTGAGAACCCACAACAAAGCTTGATAAAGCATTTGACTAGGAGCTCAGCTATGTCTCTGAAAAGTAGCAGCTTAATGATTCAAGGCTCTGCTTTGCAAACACATAGCCAGGTGAGTAAATAGGGCTAGTAAGCTTGTAAACTCACGTATGAGCTCTTGAGAATGAGGAAGATCTAAATATTGTCACACAGTTCAAAAAGGGCGAGTAGGGAAGGGTGTATGTGTGGCAGTAACTGATAGTGGAGGTAGAGAACAAGGAGAAATTCTTCCTGAGAATGTAGCTGGGGAGAAAAACCCTTGCAGGAAGGCTGACCTTCACAGCTGAGGCGGAGCTGGGAGGGAGTGAACAGAAGTAGTATTTAGGTCCTCTGGAGGACCTGGACCTGGTTTCCACCACCACCTCCAGGGTTTGCTGAATGTCTTGATAAATTCTTCAGGAGTTTTCTGTTCTCATTCATCACAGCAGCAACTGTATTGGAGATCTACCTGAAACCGTTCTTGCTGGGTGCTCTCTTCCACTTCTTGCCTAATCTCAGTTGTGTTGCTTTACCCTCAAGTTTGAGGGGAAAAGAAACTTTTGCCCTGGTGGAACATGCCCTTCTTAATCTCTTTCTTCATCTTTTCTGCTGCTCTGTTGTTCTTCTGAGGTCTATGCCCAGGCATCTGTCTGGCTTTTAGTAGACTCTCCAGTTTTCTCCTCAGTCCCTCTCCCACCTTAACAGGCAGAAGCTCAGTTACTAGCTTCCCTCCAAACTTGCTGCCTCTTGAAAACTGTTTTGACATGGCTGACATGGAGCTGTTAAACAGAACAAGAGTGCCGGTGTTTCTTTTGCATTCCTTGTGCCACCATTTCCGTTTGCTCAAGCCATTGTCAGACTTGGATTTTTAACTCCTGTCCAGTTTCTCAGACTTTTCTGCAGAGCTGCTGATGTGCAGTTCTCTTTACCTATCCCCCACAGCTGTGGGTTTTAGCCATGCTCTCGTCTTACCATGCTCTTTCAGTGGTTTCTAAGCTTTACCAGGTACAGCCTTGTACAGCTGATAGCCATCTCAGACCCTTCTGCAGAGGTGCTTTTCTACCCATGTGGTTCCTTTGTCAGTTGTACCAGCTCTCCGAAGGGCTTTTGGTATGGTCCCACACTGGGTGCTTTTACAGGAACCAGACAGCCATGGGATGGTGGGCTGGCTCCCTGCTTGGGTACTGAAGGGAACAGGGAAGGGAGTGAATGGCCAGCCCTGATGGTGGAGGATGGCCCTTGGGGCATGCCAGTCCCCATGGCAAGGGAGCAGTGTGATGGCTGTTTATCTACTGCCTGAATTTGAGTTCACAGACAACTGAAGAATTGCAGCATCTTTTAAGCCTTGCTACAGCACTAAGATGTCAATGATATTGAATGTAGATCAATGAATTGATGCACACGAAGGGACAGAAGAGAAGACTGGACTTTACTGAACTTCACTGGGAAGGATGGACTGAACTGGCTGTTGTCTTAAGTAGGAGGGCTTTAGAAAACCAAAGTAGTGAATGTGACTCTTTGCTGGAGCTTGGCAGTGATCACCAAAGCAAGCTGAGCCCTCGGGGTTCTTAAGAAGAGATTTAGGAATAAAACACATGATCTGTGGTCTGCTGCCTTTGAATGCCTGGGGTGTGTGTATTTATATACACAAATACGTATGCCTAGGATGCCAGCTTACAGCCTAGAACAGACCCGAGGGCCTCAGAGAAGGGAGAGGTGGGTGGAGGGGCTGACTCCTGCCCAAGGGCGAGACAGTGGACTGGGGCTTTTCAGCCTGGCACAGGGGGTCCCACATGCCTTCTCCCTGGTTTGGTGAATCCCTAAATTCAGGAGGCTGACTGCTGGTCCCTATCTCCTGCAGTCACCCCGGAGGGGCAGGAGAGTTTCCATAAGGCATGGAGCAGAGCTTTGGATCCCCTCATGCTGGAAGTGGACACTGCTGCTGTATGCTGTCTCAGGGAGGCTGAGCAGACTCAGGGGCAGTTCATCAGAGTCTGCTGGTTGCCTGGGCCCTGTCTGGCTTGGGCACAAAGTGGTTACCCTTCCATGTGCAATGGTATGTAGGTATACACACACACTCGCTCTGGCCTTGTTCTTCCCTGGGAACTTGCTTTTGGCTGCTATTTTGGGATGATTTTCTGGGTTAGATGAACATTAGTGACCCATTATGTCCCAGTTCTCTAGTTTGTTGCACCAAAGTGAGTTGTAGGGCTTGCTGCCTGCCTTGCACTGGCTCTTTGGGAGAATTTCCTTGCTGCAGACTTGGTAGAGACATTGCAGTGCAGTACGGTAGTTAAAGAGCCTCCAGTTAGACGTACGTTGTGCTTGTCTGTTTTAAAATCAGTAGTTAGGCTGTCTGGCAGGCCTGGCAGTAGGAAAGAAAGTAAGTACAATTCCTCTAATCCCTGGCATTAGTTAAGCAGTGAAAACTCATGTGAAGACATTAAGAAATCTCATTTGAAAGGTAACAGCGCTGCCTGAGCAGTTAACTGGGACCGTGCCTGGCTTGCACAGCAAGAGTAGTGTTAGAATGAATTTGGGTGAAGGACAACTGCAGTGTGGTGAGGCCAGGGAAGACCCAGCCTGCCAAGACTGAAGGGCTTCTTGGTGTCGTAGCCCTGTTCCCTTGGAGTGCACCTCTGGGGTCGTTTCAAGTCGGCAATGCTTTCCTGGGCATCGCGTGTGATCAGATTGGCTGTTACTGCCAGAGTGGGACGGGGCTGCACGCGTGGGAGAGCCCCGTGGTGCCTGTGCTAGTGGCATTTGGGCAGGAGTAACGTGTAAATAAGCAGAGAGCCTAGGGATCCTTCCTGGGGGAGGGACAGTCGGTGCGCTCCGAGGTGATGAAATAGCAAGCCATACACAATCAAAGCTCATCTCAACACTGCCAGGGACTGCAGCAGCTAAACATAGCCCCAGAGGCTTGACTCCCTTGGCTTCTGCCTGGCAGATGGCTGCTCCGGGCTTGCTATAGAGTTACAAAGGTGAAATCCTTCGATCTGCATCATGCCAGTGCTCAGTCTAGATGTAATGGTCTCCTCTGGACTCAAGGACTCAAGCATGTCCCTAAGAGTGGGTGCACAGTACTGAGCATCCAGGTCAGTCTAGCCCAGCTGCATGCCCCTTCCAGTGTCATCCGAAGAGGATCCTGCTTGTCAGCCTCTCTTGCTCCGTGCCGGCAGCAGCGAGCCTCAGCAGAGGCAAACATGCTCCTGGTGTTTCTCCCTGAAGCCAGTGGCATGTGGGAGCAGTTGTGCAGCAAAGGGGAAATGGTGACCTTCTGTGCCCTGTCATGGTAGAAGGACATTGAGTACAACTACGTTGGTCAGGATGGCTCCTGAACACATGGCGTTAAGGACACTCCTGTTTCTCAAACAGGAGGAAGCATCAGAGACCTAACGCAAGAAATGGTTTGCTTAGTCACGCTGCTTGGCGGTCAGTTAGAGTTGTGTTACTGTGACAGTCGGGCCTTCTGCTGGCTGTACCACGAGTGATGTGTTAGATAGGTTTTATGGACATCGACTCTGAGGTGCCTTTAATGCTGCTTTTTAAATGAGACTGTGCCCAGGGCCTGATTGCTTGTGGCTGCCTGGTGATTCAGTGGCATGTTACTGGAGGAATAAGCCATGTGCTGGGTTACAGTGTCATCGGGAAATTATTCATATGCAGTCTTGCTCCAGAGGGCTGGTCTGGATGCTTCTCACAATTAGCAGAAGTGTAATGGACACTCGGGTTCACTCTCTCCTGTCGAGGCTATCAAATGTGTCTGAAACAGGCTGCGTTTCTGCACGTTTTTCTTTTTTTACTATTGACAGAAACATGAAGTAATCACTCCTAAATCTCTCTTCAAAGCAATTTAATTGTGAGTGGAAGCAGAGGATTTTGCTTTGTGGTTGCGAGACTGTTAAATGTCTTAGGGTGAACAGCTGATGCATGTCTGAAAAGCAGCAGGTCACTCTGCTGCTGAGCTAAGCTCGTGTCACTTAAAAGAAATAACTTCAACTCAGTCTCTGCTCCTGTGCGTTAAAAATAGGCTTAAAGATAAACCTACTGCTTGACCAGGTATTTTGAGGTCTGTTTCTCACATCTAGTGTAGACCCCTCTGGAGAGCAGTCTGAAACGGGAATTACATGGTCATGGGTGAAGCAGACAAAAGCAAACCTGTTCTTCTGTTTGTTTTCCTTCTTCTGCAGGACAGATTCTGCATCCCACATGAACTACGAAAATCCTCCACCTTACTCCGGTCCGGGCCCGACTGCCCCTTACCCACCCTATGCACAACAACCGGGTGGTCCTCCTGGCCCGTACCCAGGCTATCCTCCTGGACCTACCGGGCCCTACCAGCCGGGCCAGCCAGGTTATCAAGGCTATCCCCCGTATGGATGGCAAAATCCACCTCCGCCTCCAGGACCAGTGTATGCCGATGGGCCTAAAAACACAGGTATGCGGAGCAGCCGTGATGCGTGACCCTTTCTGGCTTGCAAATGCGTGAGTACAGGTTGACCTTGAGGTGACACGGTTACCAGCGTCTGGCCCAGATGGGACTGGGGGAGGCTGAGACTCCTTTGAAGTGGCAATTCTGTTTACAGCCTGTTCTCCTGTGTTATTTTGCTGCTGTGTCTGACAGTTCTCTGGCTGTTGGAAGATACTGCTGAACGTCCTTAATGCTGATCCCTCAAGGGAATCCTTGTGCTGAGGTTGTTATACGTGCCTCTTGCTGGCTGTAGATGTGCCATAACTCATTCTGCCTGTCCTTTGCTTGGTAGGTTTCAGCTGAAGGCTGCACAGTTAAAGCTTGTAATATTCAAATGTGCAGTTCCTAACGAATTAATGGACATCAGCTTTCTTAAGCCCATTACTATCTGTCCAAGTGATCTAATAGTGCCATTGGAATAATTCCTGGGTTTTGGGGTTTTTCTCTGAAGCTATTGTTTTCCTGTGGAAAACCACAGATTTGGAAAGAGGGTGTTGTAACTTACCTTGGCAGCTAGCTGGTCCAGCTGTGTGCTGTCCCCTCAATATGGTATGCTGGTTTACTCTGGCACCCATAGCACTCGTGGAGCTTGCTGCAGTGCTTGGTGCAGGCTCCAATTGTCAGAGAAGGGCCGAGAAGATGATTGAGAGACCAGAGCATCTCTGTGTGAGGACAGGCTGAGAGAGATGAGACTGCTCAGCCAGAGAAGGCTCAGGGTGGCCTGCCCATGTGTATAAATACCTGATGGGAGAGAGTGAAGAAAAGGGAGCTGGACTCTTCTCAGTAGCGTGCAGTGAGAGGACCGGAGACGATGGGCACACACTGAAACGTCACTAAAGGTTACTTCTGAACACAGGATGACACTTTTCTACTGTGAGTGATCAAACGCTGGCACAGGTTGCCCAGAGAGGTTGTGGAATCTCCATCTGTGGAGATACTCAAAACCTGACTGGACAGTGGTCCTGGGCAGCCTGCTTTAGCTCACCCTGCTTGAGCAGCGGAGTTGGACCAGATGATCTCCAGAGGTCTCTTCCAACCTGAACAACTCTGGGATTCTGGCAAGGTTGTGTATGGTCCTTGCCTTTCCCTATTGCAAAGAGGAGGATTTAGCTTGGGGTTTTTAGGTAACTCTGTCTTGCTGGTAAGGAAAGTTGCCTGGAGATCAAGTTTATTCTCATCAGTGTTTCACAGGCTTTGGTTGTAAAACCTCTGCTTATATATCATGGGGGTGTACTCACCCCCTCACCATCAGCATGGAGACTCATGCTGTTGTGCCAGCTCCAGTGCCTTCTTTCAGACTTCTTCAGTGATAGACATACTCATCCAGGCTGGGAAGCCAGAAACCATCATCACCCCTCTTCTGTTACAGAGACTATCACAAACAGACCTGAGCTGTTGAGTAGAGTCTTAAGTACCTGTAGCTGTTCTGACTGCCTTGGGGTGGCAGAGGACGTGGCCAGAGCTACCAAAGGGCTGTTCTGCGAGAGGGAGTGTGGGGAGCACTTCTGTAGAGGTGCTGTCCAGGCACTGTGCTTTAGGTGGGAGCTGCTCTCAGGAAGGAAAGGAGACTCAGGGTTTGTATGTGCTGGGTGTGTCTGGCATGGTCATGGACAGACTAACCTGGGGTGGAAAGAAATGAGACTCAAATCAAAACGAAAGTCAGTGCTGTACAGCTGTGTAAGGCCCTAGCACTTTGGACAGCATTGCTGTAAAGAGCAGCTGATGAAGTGGGTATTGAAGCTGACATCACTTGAGAAATTGCCAGGACTAGGGCAGTACCCTGAGGCCTTTGCTGCTATGCGAAGCTCTCTTTTTGGGCGTAAAGGTTGTGCTCCACATACTCTTGGGACAACGTGCACTTGCGCTTGGGGCCTGCTCAGCACCAAGGTCTCATATGTATTTGCTGCATGTTGAGACAACTGCCTGCTGTGCCCCCCTGCCACTCCATGTTACTCTGGCTCAACAGCACGCTGTGACAAAGGTCTTTCAAAGCCCATGTGTTTTGGGAAACTGGAACTTGAGAAGTTCCCAGCAAGAGTTTTCCACTGCAGTGAATCCAAAGGAGGCTTGACATAGATGGGTGGACAGGCTGAATTGTGGAGAGGATGTTTTCAAGAATTCTTTTTTTTCCAGTATTCTTGGCTAAAATGGTGGACTACTGGACCAGTGTGTATAAAAGTGTTCCTGGATTTATAGCTGATGTAAGATGTCAGGAATATTGTGGTGTGGATCTGGCCAGAGGACCTAAATGTAAGCAGCAGGCAATTGGTGTGAGTGAATAAGAGCCTGAATAAGTGCAAGTCATGAATCAGCTTCCTCTTTTACAGAGTGAAAACCTCAAAGATGTGCCTTTGGGAAGGAGGAGGCAGCAGCATGGTGATGCTTCTGACCACTTCCACCACATTGACTCAAAGTGTAATCAGGGTTTTCCATGGGAAACTCACATAGTTTTGAGGTGGCTAACAGGCGTTTCTTGATACTGGGGAGAGGGGAAAATTCCTAGTCTGCCATGTAGAACATCCTTGGTGAGTGCAAGTGTCACTTTGGTGCTATAGCCATAAAAAGGGATATGCCAGCAGAAGCCGAAGGGAGAGTGGGTCTGCTGCTTTGGATACTCTGGCTTTGAGCCAGGTCTGCTGCCTTGAAGACTTAAAGGATCTCATATCAGCCTGGATCAGGGAACTGATGACACTGAACGTCCTCTGCTCAGGTCAGCTCTCTGCTCTGCTCGCTCAGGTCAGCTCTCTGCTCTGCTCGCAAACCTGTGGACCAGTGCAAAGGAGTAGGCTGGGAAGTTGGAGAGGACAAGTAGCTCCATGTTCGAGTGAGTCTTTCACCGAGAGCCCAGGCTTACGCTGCAGGAGGCATGGTTTTGTTGTTAAACCTGAGCTAACACAACTGCAGTTCTGCAGAAGCATCGCCCTAATCCACAAACCAAAGACCTTCCAGCAAGTCCTGTCTTTGAACTCTGCCTTCCTGTAGCCATGTGTGGTCTCTGAACCCAACCTGGGAGCCTTCAATTTTTCATTGCTTTTGCTGAAGTGGGTGTAAGGTACAAATCATTTATTAACGTGTGTAAAATGAAGTCAGGGCTCTAACTTTCTGTTTAGCTGCAAAAGCTTTTTCCTTTTTCTTGATTCTCCTTCTGTTAAACACCCTTTTTCGCCCTTGCTTCTTTTTGGCTAGTCCATCAAACTGGAGCCTGATCTTTGTCCTGTGACACTTTAACAGAAGTCTTCTGAGAGAGCTTTCAATGAAGCTTTGTTTAATGATCACCTCCAGGAGTCTCTAGTATAGAATGGGTGCCCCTAAAAAAGCTAATTTTTTTAAACTCTGTTATACTATTGCTATATATCTATTGATGAGGCTGAACCTCAAATATAAAAAAAATGACATCTAAATTTAGTGAAGTCATTACAGTCTGCCTAGCTGGTCTGGCGTGATTTCATGTGGCTTGTCAGTTCTTGCGGTGTTTCCAGGCAGTTATCTGGGAAGAGCTGCTGTGTGGATGCTTTCCTTTCAGAGCAGATGTTTTGCCCTCCTAGATGACTTTGCTTAATCTAATGTCCAAGTAATGCATTAGTATTTCCGAACAAAGGCGTGTCCACATTGAAAACTAGGACATTTACTGCACTTCAAATTTTATGCATTAAAGTATTTTACTGTGTGGACAAACTGCAAAGTGGGCTTTTATGTTGTGGATCGTAGCTGGTGTGCTAATGTGTGGAAGTAATTACGCATCATATTTTGGTCTTGAGTGGATCATGGAATTATTTCATTACTGTTGAGCTCTCAAAATCTGATGGTGAAGTAGCATTTTATGGTGAACATTGTTTTTTAATCTGATGGTTTGTGGGCTGTCTGGAGCAGCAACAGACATAGCCTGTCTGATTGGCCCTTGGGGAAGAAAAAAACTCGTATGACCCACTTTCTGTATTAAAAAGAAAGCAGCATCTGCAATGTAACCATGAAACAGGTTAAACTTGGTACTGGTTGTGTCACCCACCCTGCAGAAGAGTTCGTGAACCCCTGAGCCTTGTTTCAAAGGCTGCTGTTGAAGGACTCCTTGGGCTGAGCAGCACGGATGTGAGTTATGCTGCCTGTGCCGGGCGTGTGTGCTGCAGCACCTCTTCCTCCCTGTCCTCAGGAGGTGGGAGCTGTAAGCCCAGACTGGAAAGTTCAGTCCCTCTTGTTGGGGTCATGCTTGGCAAGGGTAGGGAACATCTAGGCTGGAAAGTTACTACTGTTAAGGGAGCAATGGCTCCGCTAGAAATAGGTGAGAGCGGGAGGATGTTGCCATCTTTCCAGTATGACATGGAATAGAGGGACATACATAAAGGCTTGTTAGAGGAGCGCGCGGTCCAGAACAGAGCTGAACAAGGACAACAAGTACATTCTGCTCTGGACTGTAGGGTTGGTTAGCCATGACAAAAATCAGCTTGCAGTTGACACGTTAAGGCTTAGTGGTGTTGGCCATCCGACTCCTGTGTATTACAGCACTGTAGAAACAGTGACTGCAGCTGATAACAGCAGTTGATGGTGCTTTGTCCCTTCTCCCAGAGTAGATGGAGTTCAGGGTGTGCAAACTTGTAGCTCCTCAGAGCCACCCTAGCTACCCCGACACTATTGGGTGTGAAAGGCCTCGAAGCAGGTGTTTCTTCTCCAGGTGGAGAAGCAGCAAGCAAGAGAGGCTAGGTGACTTGCTGAGGTGGCACAGAAGACCTCATGGCTATGGTTTTGGTTTTTTGATAGCTGGCTTTTGTGCTTGCACAGGCTGCCGATAGCAAAGTCTCCAAAGAAACAACACCCCTTGCGTCTTGCAAGGGCTAACAACTGACTTGGCTGTTGTTCATTAGAAGTAAAGAACTTGACCTTCGCCTTTAGAGCTGATAATTTTTATGCTGAGCCTGAGGGACGTTATCCCTAAGGGTATCTGATTCAGCTTCCGAACTCTGTGAACTGAATTG